TTATTGGCTGAATTACTTAACCAAGTAAGGGGTCTGTGTTCTTAGTATGATTTTCCAAATTCACACACAGTATCATTCACCATCACCATTATCGTGGTTATCCCTTTTAAGCTTAGGAATCCAGCTCTTTTTCTTCCTTCCCTTTTTCCCCTGTGGCTAATAACTACATCATTTCCAGAGCAGCAATTGTTATTAATAATAATAAAGTCAGAAAAATGTATTCTATTCCTTTATCAGTGTAATATTTTTTTTCCCAAACTGAATTTCTTTTTGAGATGGTAAAAAGAAAACATGAGCACTGTTCCCTACCTCCTCTAACATGATACTTTTTCTTCATGGGAAGATATATTATGTCATTCTGATTCAGGGGCATAATACAAATATTGATTTCTTAAACTCTATGGCCCTTTTTATCCATCCATGCAACTTCCTTGTATGATTGAATTAGGAAGAGATTCAATAATAATAACAATACTGCACTCAGAATTTACCACAGGCTTATAATCAGAACCATCAAGGATGCCAGCCTTTGAGTTCTGATTTTGCATCTGCATTTTTTAAAAAGATACTTTGTTGAATGTGTCTGCTTTTTATTCATCTTTGAAGATGTCTGTTTGGAACAGTTAAGAAAAGTTTTAGTTCTGGTTGTTTGTCAACTGAAAATAGCTCGACTTAATAGATTTGTACAAAGTCTATTAAAAAGATTTTTTTAGTAGAATTAAAGCATCTTTGTTCCAGTTGTTAAAACACCACACTTTGTGTACATGCAGTTTATGAAATTTAGGCATGCACAGTTGTGTTGCTATTTTAACCTCTTTCTAATGCTTTCCAAAGCCATAATGGTTAAATCAGTATAACCATGATTTTACCTTCTCAAACAGAAGTTTCAATTATTGATTGGAGAAAAGAAAATACTGGTGGTGATATGCAGCATCGTAAAAACACAGCTTATTTTCAGATCACAGCACCAATAAGCTTTTGATTGACAACAAATTACTTCATTGGCTATTTATAAACATGATTGTGAAATGCATTTCCATTTCTCTCTTGAATTCATATCAAGCAAAATTTGAAATAATAAATATGAGTTGTAGTAACATAGTCTAGGAATGCTCAGAAATATTATGATTTAATTATGTATAGAAGTCTAAAGGAAAGCTTAATCTTTCATACACTTGCTAAGAATTCTTTTAGGGAATGTGTTGCCCATTATCTGCTATATTTTTCTGGATATCTGATTTTGGGAAAGCCTCGTACAGGCATCAAGCAATGAAACAGCTTCAGTCCTGTCAGTAAAGTAAAAGGTTAAATGTTAATTTATATGCAGCCCCTCAAACGAATTAGTGCCATTTTTACTACAGTGGCAAAGTTTTACAGCAGAAATATGAATGTAAAAATGTATTAACAATAAGTTCTCAACATTGCTCACAGGGAAAATAATGCACATGATATCAATTTAAACTTGAGGTGTGATTCTTGGGGGCACTAAAATGTCATTTGTTTTTAATAGAAATTTTATATTTGTGCATGAAAATATGCTGAGCATAGCAAGCTTTTCATACTTTCAGTTTATAATAGTATAATAATGTTTTGCATTATCAGTTTTTTTTTACAGTGCTTGTAAGAGCTATTCAAAACAAAAAGAATCCCAACTGTTGTTAAACATAGGAACTTTCTCTCTTTGAAATATTTTTCTTAGAAACAAAATGGAAAACATACCGATATGAATAATCATTTTGATACATACAAAGTAATCCATTTATTTGGCATGCAAGGTACAAAATATTAATTTTGTTAGAAATACATATTTAGAAAAGAAAACATTACAGTTGTTACAGTTACAGTTGTTACAGTTGTTCTCTTTTGGACTAGAATATATTTTACTCACCATTTCTTGATTCCCAGATATTTTGATAAGTGCTCAATATTGAGTAAAACCTCTAGGAATGGAATCCAGGTACATTTGGATTCATCCATTAAGTTGAGCCTTCACTGCTCAATTACTACACAGTCTCTATCCTATCAACTTAATCCAGTTAAGTGCTTAATGCCAATTCTTACTACACTTAGTCTAGGTTGATGAGTTCCTTAACTCCCTAGGGCAATTTGGATTCCTGTAAGTGGGGCTTCTGTGCAGCCTCAGCAGGATGGTGAATTGAAAGTTCCCCAAAACTCTATATAGCAATTCCCCCCCCCCCAAAAAAAAACCTTTTGGGCACCAGGGATTGGTTCTGTGGAGAGAGGTTTTTCTGTGAACCGGAAGGGGTGTGGTTTCATGTGCTGCCTGCATCCCACGAATAGGACTTTGCTTGTTTGCACGGCCTAGTTGCTGGCATGCAGCAGCCTGGTTCCAATCCATGGACCAGAGGTTGGAACCCCCTGCTAGAGTGGATACCATGTGGTACAAGAACAACTTTGGGGTACAGCTTTTTCCTTTTTTAAGCACTTCCCAGATAAATAGAAAATGATGTGTATTTGCCATTGTTTAAATCTTTCTCTGGCAAGTCTATAGACTTTGAGATTTGGACTATGTTTAATTTGGGTAGTTTAGATATTTTCCAGTGAAATGTATGTTTTCATCCTGTAATGAGACCAGTATAGCACCAGAATTCCTGTCTTTTTACTTTCATATTTAAAACGACACTTTCGTTTCCGTAGTAAATGTAGTTTGAATATGTACCAGTTATAAACTTAGAAGGTTTCTTTTCATGGATATAAATCCTTTCCTCTCCTTTTTCTTATATGTGAACACTTTATTATGAAAATATTGTATAAGGTTGTGTACTAGTGTCAATAAAATTGACATTGTGTTAACACGCTGTGACTTTTCTGTCAGATTTTTAGCATATTAAGAACAAAATTCTTTAATGCAGGCAAATCTCTCATTGTAATTTGGGGTTTGATTTGGTGCTGGAAAAGATAACGAGATGAATATGAATGAATCTTGGGGATTTATTTAAAGCCGTATTAATTATACATATTACTGAAAAATAAATTACTCCCTGATCCTGCTCTTATGTCACATTTTCCTAGTATTTCCTTCTCAGGTGCAAATTAAAATTCTAACTCTATTTTCAACAAAGAAAAAAGTATTTATGAGTGTGAAACATTGCAGAATTTCACGTGCATTTTAGCTTTGGGTCTTAATAACAACTTAGCTGACTGCATATTCATTTTTCTAAATTAAAATCCTGTGGAAAGTTTGGGACCATAAAAACATAAAGAAATGGCTGGAATCATTATAAAAGCCTCCATAGATTTTTATGCTATGTCTTTCCAAAATCTGTAACCCACTTGCCTTCTAAGAAAAGGGAACTGAAACTTTTTTCACTGTTGTATTTCACATAGCAATAAATGTGTACTGTCAGGCACATAACATAACTCAGCATATTTGAAACTGTCCTATTACAAGCTTTGAAATAATCCCTCTTCTATTATTGCAATGTAGCATTTCTATCCCAAACAATCAAAGGAGCAACTCATCAAGGTATACTGTACTAATTTTCTTGGATGTAGCCAGAGGGCCTGAAATAGTTTACTTCATCTATTCTAGATGTGGCTTTCTCCTATCATTTCTTTAGCACTTTATGCAATAAAATTGACAAGCTAGGGAGGGAGGGTTTAAAATCGCAGTAATGTGATGGTTATTTGAGATATCAAAAACTTAAGAAAAAAGTCTGAAAAAATAAATAGCAAGATCTTCTTTGGATGTGATTCTGTCCCCTCACAAAGCTGTGCACACATAGGGAGCCTAGGTTGCCTCTAGGAATTATGAGAAATAGGGGTTGAAATTAAATACCCCATTTAATCTAAATATGGACTTTTCTAATCATATGACTTCACCCACTCACCCACTTTTCAAGGAATGGGTCAAGTGATAAGGGAAATGTGTGGAGAAGATGGAGGGTTACAGTGGTGAGATTAAAAAAAATTACTTCCAGTTATGTGGGCATGGCTTGGTGGGCATGGCAGGGGAAGGATACTGTAAAATCTCCAGTCAGAGGTGGTATTTGCCGGTTCTCCGAACTACTCAAAATTTCCACTACAGGTTCTCCAGAACTAGTCAGAACCTGCTGAATACCACCTCTGGAGGGTTATCTGCTCCTATGGTAATGCATGTGGGATGGGGTGGGATGAGTAAATCACAGTAGTTGTTTCTCTCAGTGATATAAATTAGGTAGTAATTATTAACTGATGGTAATAGTAATTATATTTGTAGAGAAATTTGACTTTTGTTACTTACAAATGATTTTTTTCTGTACTTTAGTTGCAGGTAAGTAAGCATAAACAGTGCAAAAGTTCATCTTCCTCCTTTAAAAATAAATAAATAAAAGGAGGTGTAGTATAAATTGCCTAGCTGTGGTTTTGAGTTTCCATGGTATTTGGTTATATAAGTGAAGTCATATGATTCGGAAAGTCCATAGTTAGATTAAATGGGATATTTCAGCCCCTTCATCTCATTTGAATCAGTTGACAAACCATGATAGGAAAATTTGGATTAATCTTGGGTTGGACATTGAACATATCAATTGTTTTTATTTAGGCATAACTAAAACTAGTTTGTTCAAAACCATAATTAGAAGCCTTATTTTTTTCCTGCTGTGCATGACGAAGGAACACAATAGGATAAGTGTTTGAGGTCAAGTGTAGCACCTTCACTGTTTACAACAACGTGTTTGTTGTGTGAGATCTAAGAAAGGGTTATAAATCTTCCATAACTATTCATGATGCCTAGAGCTGGTTACGTTCAATTCAACAGAGGCTAAGAAAAGAATATTTCCCACTATTACAAGCGATGTGAAACTTATTCCAACCAGTTGTCGGTATTCAGAACAGATTATGTTACTACTTAGAGAACCCTGCCAAAAAGATTGTAGTCATTTAAATACCAATAACTCCTCTAAATCTTATGATACCCTACTACTTAAATGGGTTGAGGGGATTTAATCTTCATCTATACTCAATTAAAGTTTTCTGAATTTATTGTATTGTTCCTTCAGCAGGCTCTCTTGCTGGCAGCCCTCACCTTTCAGAACTGTCAATCAATTCTCAAGGTGGACCAGCCATAGCAAATGCAACTTTGTCTCCTAATTTGAGTCCTGATAATAGGCAAGCTTCTCCATTGATCAGTCCCTTGCTGAATGATCAAACTGGAGTCCGCGCTGATGATGAAGAGGAGGTCAGGAGAAAGGTACTGATGTTGGCTCTACCTATTAGGTATGCAATGGACATTTAGCAATTTTTCTTTGTTTTCAATGGATGGCTGTTTTAAAAACTTCCATGCTGAAAAAAATGGCCGTATCTTCTCTCACCATCTTACTAAGCAGCAGGGCTTAGAAGTGGTGACAGAGTTGCCTCTATTCATATGCATTCATATCACTTCTGAATATAGAACTGTTTTGTACATTTTATATTTTGGGAATAAAGCTATTCCTGTTTGCTGATCTTGGGCATTTTTCCTTAATTCTCTGTAATTTTGCAGCATCCAACTCTTTTAATACCCAAAGCTAACTATAAGAGTCCTATCATTGTCATTTGAGTACAGATTAAAGTCATTTTGTCTTCTGACTAATTTCAGAAGTTTCCAACTGACAAGGCATACTTCATTACGAAAGAAGTTGCCACTACAGAACGGACTTACCTGAAAGATCTTGAAGTCATCACATCGGTATGTTTCTTTTTTTTCCCCTTAAATTAAAAATTATGGAGCCCTAAATATCCTTCTTCCTGTCTTTTACTACATCTCCCACTATCTCCATCAACACAATATTTTATTACAGACATATTTAATCACAAAATGTATCTGATGAGATTGGAATTTCATCTAAATACCGTAGCAGAAGATAAAACATTACTGGGGGGGGGGGGGGGGTTGCACAGATGGATCATTTAATTTCTGATAGTTTTGTTCTCTTTACTTTGTTGTCATTTTAATGCTTTGTATTTTGGATCCCTGTTGTCATTTGTCATTACTGTTCCATCCCTTTCAGCAATACTTTAAAATGGGAGAAAATCAAAGGATGCCCGCTTAATAAGCAGAAAAATTGATTAAGCAAACAGTATCCCAATCTGTCTGAGTTCCTGGAGTGGATATGTTTAGCTTTCTACAACTGAATTCAACAGAGGCTGTACAGATAATATTTAATTTGGGATTCTATAGCCTTGTCAGTTCTCTCTACATCATCTTGCTAAATGGAGTAAAAACACCGAATTAACTGAAATAATGCTCAGCTGCTCCTTTCCAGTAGAATCCTAAAGTGAATTATTTTTTCTCAAGTACTTTCCTATAGATTGTGAACTTTATATCTTTCCTGGATATTTAAACTCAAGGCTCTGCCTTAGGATATGCTTAGATATACCATGAAGAGCACCAAATGGGGGATATTCTAAACAACATCTTTAGAAATCTTTCCTTTTCCAAATACAACATGGAACTATCCCAGTGAATAGTTTCAGTACCTAAACAGAAGACTACAGATAGTTTTGGTGATTCTTCTGTTGGTTCTGGATAACTTTGGTATTTTAAAATGATTGCACAACTCGAGAAATTTAATGTTTTATGCATTAACTTACACAAACCTATCAAAGATAGAACAATTACTCACAGTTAAAAAATATATAATGAGGTTAAATATTTTCCACTTATTTTTGGTCAGGAGAACTTTAGCTTGGGGTATATTAAATGTAGAAGCATGCTTCTTAAATAAAAGAAGCTGTCCCATTGTCAATAAGCTCAAAAAAACCTAACTTCAATGTTATAATACTAATTTATTGGTAAGGCTATTACCACTAAACAAGAACTGTCTGATTCCCCTATATACACACCCTAACCAGGAAATGTCTGTGCCAAGAGTTCCTCTGATTGCCGTGCTTGGTTTTTCTAGTGGCTCCAGAGCACCGTAAGTAAAGATGACTGCATGCCAGAAGCACTAAAGAGTCTCATCTTTTCGAACTTTCAACCTTTGCACAAATTTCACACCAACTTTTTAAAGGAGGTAGAACAGCGCATTGCTCTGTGGTAAGAATTCCAGCAGTTATTTTAATAAGATGACATTTTGATGCTAAATATTTTACGTTTTATTCGACCATGTTCAATCCAGAATGGATGTACTGTCCGTTCCATCTTGATGAAAAGACAGAACAGAACAGAACAGAATAGAATAGAAGTGTGATTGGACACACGAGGAATTTGTCTCTGGTGCATAAGCTCTCAGTGTATATACAAGCAACAAGTGATAAATCATGATCGTAATCATAAAATACAATAATCATAAATCATCATCTTAAGGCTATAAATTCTTTAAAAATTGCAGCAGATTCCTGTGAGACTGACAATTGTTCTTAGACATTTATCTACTTTTAATCAGTTAAATTAGAACAATTTCAATCTCAGTAGACACTTATGTCAAGATATTGTTGTTTGGACTATTAAGAAGCTTTTTCTTGACATTTGCAATACAGAATTATACATTTTTAAAGTATCTTCGTAAATTCGTTTCCTTCTCTTTAGCACACACCACAGACTTAATTTCAAGTTCTGGAACAATAGTCCAGGTTAGAATCTACTTTGATTTCATCCCATCAGGTGTTAACATTTAATTCGGTTTTATGCACTTCCTTCCTTCTTTCTTTTCTTTTCTTTTTTAATTTAATTTGTATTTCCCACCCCACCCCAATCTTGCTAGCAAGAGTGACTCTGGGGAGCTTTCTTTCCCAACTAAATAAATATAGAAGGGAGTATGCCTCACCTATAATGAGAGAGAGATAAGAGGGGCGGGGAGAGTGGGGGTATATTCACTGCAATGTGAAACTAAGTATTTGTTTAGCAAATCCCATATTATGACTTCAAAATGATACTAGATAATGAAGTCTAGTCTGAATAATACATGCAATCCTCAATGTATACCTATTGGTTTAGTGACCATATGAACTTCTAATGGCACTGAAAAAAGGTGACTTACGACTGTTTTTCACACTTATGACTGTTGCAGCATCCCCACGATCGGGTGATCAGAATTTGGACACTTGGCCACTGGCATGTATTTATGACTGTTGCAGTGTCCTGAGGTCACCTTTTGCGACCCTGTGACAAGCAAAGTCAATGGGGAAGCCAAATTCCCTTAACAAGCATGTTCCTAATTTAACTGCAGTGATTCACTTAACTGTGGCAAGGAAGGTCATAAAATGGGCCTTACTTTGCAAAGGGTATTTTGGGCTCTATTGTGGTCATAAGTTGAGGACTACCTATAGAAGCATTTTCTTTTTAAAAAATTCTTCCACTAAAGTTAATGGAATATGAGTGGAATATTAGATTTTAATAAATATTACAATGGCACTGCAGATAGGGCCAAGAGCTTTAATTAAAATTATTAAAAAGAACAGATTGCACAGTGTAGGGACCGGAATCTTTCTAAATTATTTTTATTTTTGTTGTCTGTATTCTCAAATTATTTTCTGTATTTGATTTGATTGCATTGCTAATAAACAAAAGAGTTATTACAAGTTTTCAAATTAGCATCTAAAACGTATTTTGATTGCTTTGTTGTATTGATTAAAAGAAAGATAGCAGTAATAAAATCTTACGAGTCTAGTGAGACATTTTATTTGTAATAAATATTTATCAAAAGAGACCTTTAATCAATTAGCTAAGCACGTTTAGAATTCCATTGCTTTTAATAAGAATCTCTTTATTCTTTCATCTCCATGGATTAGGAGAGGTTGTTTATTTTCATTCCTGAAGCCAATAGTTATATAAAAGAACAATAATCTTGCAATCACAATGACTGTAGATTGCAGAGGAAAAGAGACTGGTTTAATTCACTGGGCTTTAATCATCTCTTCCAAATAAATCCAAACAAGGAAATGAAACAGTAGGATGCTATTATTTATTATATGATACATTTTAAGCCTATGAGCTCACCAATAGTGTGTACATCTGTTATCACTCCTTCAGTTACCTATTACTCATAGACTAGAGATTTTGCTTCAGACTGTTTTGGTCAAAGGAAGCTATGATCTTTAGATATAGTTATTCATCCTGTTACAGCAATCCTTCCCCAGGTTTCCCATACCCTCTTTAGCAATGAGGGAACTCTGATTCCCTGCTTGTTGGCTATAGATCATGCAGGGGCGGGATTCTACCAGTTCGCACCTATTCACGAGAACCAGTTGTTAACATTCTAAGCAGTTCAGAGAACCGGTTGTTAGAAAAAATTACTGGCCTAATCCCGTAAGGAAGGCAGGAAGGAAACATTCTGGTGTTGCTTACAGAAACTGCCTCTCCGTTAACCCTTATTACATTCTGTCTCAGGAACGTCTCTGGAGTTTTTTTCCCTTCCTTTGCTGGTACTTTGCTTGTCTGGAGTGTCCATTCAAAGTTAACAATGGCACTGAAAAAAGTGACTTATGACCATTTTTCACACTTACAACTGTTACAGCATCCCCATAGTCATGAGAGGCCAGGCGAGGAGATGCGTGCTTCAATGTGAGTGATATTGAGTTGGCCACGCCCAGCCAATAAATAATATGACCACCAAGCCACGCCCACCAACTAAGCCACACCCATAGAACCGGTTGTTTAGAAAAATGAATCCCACCCCTGAGATCATGGTCTGTTCATGGTGAGTAAAGCAGATAGATTTTGTTAGTGACAAAGTGTCTGAAAGCAACAGTTGGACCATTTCTTAGCTTTTTGTTTGTAAGGCAGCAATGATATCAACTGAGGAAACAGAATTCTAATTGAGCCAATATTACCTGAGTGACACAAGTGAAACATTCCAGTTTTTAAACATGTGGGCTTTTTTTTTTACCATAGAATGGCTGTATTTGTGGATCCCCATTTTCCTTTATTCACTGTTATTTTGGATTTGTAGAGTGATCTTATTTTGGCTGTAAGTGACAGTTATGATTTATTTGCCTTTCATCCAATACTTCCTGGGAAATTGAGGTTTCCCTCCCACGCTCTTCTGAATGTCGCTTTAGAGCTCTTAAATTATTCCTTACTGTCTTTTTACATTCCACCTTTCCACCATGATTCCTGCTTTTGAGACATGGCTGTCACCGGATGTGCTAGTTTTGACTGTCTCAGCAGTTGAATTGACTGGCTGTAAGCTTAATAAAGGTTTCTTTTAGAGTTTTCCCTTTGCTATTAACTGCAGTTAGAACCTCAAAATTTGAGAATCCAGTTTGTGTTGCCAATAGGCATTGTCTGGCTATAAAATCAGCAACATTTTCCTTTTGTAAATCCTCATCCCCCTGGGGTATCAGCCTTGCAGCAGCTGGACAAATGACTATGATCCTCAGGCAGGGAGTTACATCAGACATGGAATTGGAAGGATCTAAAAATTGGGAGCAACTCCATTTGTAGATCCCACATAATAGGGTGATGTCTTTCAGAGAGGCTATCAAGAAGAGTAAAGAGAGGAGGCAACAGTAGTGGGATTCAAAAAAAATTTTATTACCAATTCTGTGGGCGTGGCTTGGTGGGCATGACAGGGGAAGTATACTGTAAAATCTCCATTCCCTCCCCACTCCTGGGGGCAGGTTACTGCAAAATCCACATTCCCTCCTCACCCCACTAACCTGCTTTCCAGCTCCGTTCTCCTGTGCAGGGCAACAAAAGAAGACCCAGCCAATCAGCTGGGACTTGGGAGTCAGAGAATAGATGGGGGCGGGGCCAGTCATAGGTGGCATTTGCCGGTTCTTCAAACTACTCAAAATTTCCACTACCGGTTCTCCAGAACTGGTCAGAACCTGCTGAATACCACCTCTGGGAGGCACTGGTTACTTACAGCAAGTAACTGTTTGCTTTTAGGTATCTGTCAACTTTTGAGCTGTTTGGTAGACTTACGTGAAGTTTGGGAAGCAGAATACAACCGCTGCTCTTTTTTATTTCTCTCATAATACAAATATAGATCTTTACTTTGATCTCAGAGTATGCCCAAAACTCCAGTAGAACAAGAATGAAAATAAAATACAGGTAGTCCTTAACCTACGACCACAACCGAGCCCAAAATTTCTGTTGTTAGGTGAGACATTTGTTAAGGGAGTTTTGCCCCATTTTATAACCTTTCTTGCCACAGTTGCTAATTGAATCACTGCAGTTGATATGTTAGTAACCTCGTTAAGTGAAACTAGTTTCTCCATTGAGTTTGCTTGTCAGAAGGTCACAAAAAGGGGAACGCACAGCAAAGGTCATAAAAATGAACCAGTTGCCAAGGGTCTGAATTTTGATCGCATGATCGTGGGGATGCTGCAAAGATAGTAACTATGAAAAAACAGTCATAAGTCACATTTTTCAGTGCCATTTTAACTTCAAACAGTCACTAAATGAACTGTTGTAAGTCGAGGATTAAGTCGAGAGCAAATTAAAATTTTATTTTAGAGGAAGCTCTTAATAATAGATACTACCTGGGACACCATCTTTCTGGCTACTTAAAGATTAGAATTAGTCCGGACTTATTGTCTCTTATTTCAATATTAAATATTCTCATGAAGGAACCAGCAACTTGGGACTGGCAATTTGGTCATTAAGTGAAGCAGTAGTTAAGTGAAACCACCATTGGGCATATAATTCCCTTCGGCTTTGCTTTGCTTTACAGACCCACCAAGGTTGTAAGTACAAATACGTTGTAAAGTTATTTTTTATTACTGGTGTAACTAAGAATGGTTGCTAATTGAGGCAACCGCTAAATGAAGACTCTACTGTACTACTGTACATCACATTGACTTTCTATAATCTCATATTTTAAAAAGTTTGAGACATTTTATATTTCTCTGAGGATATGTTTAAATCTCCTATTTTTCTTGTTTCTTGCAATCTTGAATGTATGCAGATCAGGCATCAATGCCATGCCAGCAGCCCACTCACACTAGAGTCAAGCATTATTATCTTCCAGCATGCAGCTGAATAAATATTACCACATGTTTCTCCAATAGTTCAATTTTATTTATCCAAAGATTGACTACTCTCATGGTTGATACCAAGTTGGCTGGTTTACTGATTTCAGTGAAGCGATAGTTCATGTTTGCAACAACAACAACCAACAGTAGCAAAGTATTTGTGTTTTGCTATTCTTCCAGTATAATCCCATGGGCATTAAAGATCTAGAATGATGACCGTATTTGAGAAATAGAGTGGAGTTTTGGAGTAGTTTTTCATAGTTTCAAAAGAGTCCACCTGCAATAAACCACCCCTGGTTTCAAAAGATGCAGACCTTGTATGTGAATATATATATAGCAATTTGCTCACAGCAAAAATAGGGTTATTTCACAAGGTTATTTTTCTGTGCTTGGTAGTGATTTGACCAAGAATATATTAAAAATCAGCTCTATCCAAGTTTACTGTTCCCGTGTAGAGCTATTTCTTGTTATTTTCTAAGTAGGATTTTTCTTTCTTTTGGCAGAAGTTAACAAAAAGCCTTGGCAACAGGAAGGAAATCCAAGTTTTGTTTTTCAATTATGGAGTCGTAAAGATTGGATTTAAATGTGGTCTTTGACATACAAAAATGCTTTACCTTTAGAGAGTCATACTAAATTATTATTATTTTAGAGTATGTATGTTAGTTTGAAAACCTATCTCTTCTAACATTGTACAATGTATCCCTGGGAGAAAGAATGATAGAGCCAAAAGAGAAAATATACCGGTAAGTGAGGGCAATTAATTTTCAGGGAATCTTTGCTTTCCTTTGCAAAAGAAATCTTTGTTAAATCTCTGTCCAAAGCAAGATATTCCCCAAGAGGTTGAGATGTTGCTCCCTCAGATGTTTACGAGTGGAAATAAGTCCAATCCCAGGTTTCATTAAATCAGTGAAAGTTTCCTGTGCTCTGCTCATCTAGGTTTGCAAATATTCATTACGAGTATATTTTGGAATAGATGTATAAACTCTGAACACAAGATGTTTGACTGCTTTGGTCATTCTGCTGAACACCTAACTCCCACAGCCTAAAGATATAGGTTGTATTGCTATTATTCTTCTCATATTTCTCATCTCATATTTCCTACTATCTTTTCCTATTGGTTTCTTATGATTAATGATTATAACTATGATTATGACCTATTTTGTATGTACATTGAGAGCTTATGCATCGAAAACAAATTTCTGCTGTGTCCAATCACACTTGGCCAATAAAGAATTCTATTCTACTCTACCCTACCTTACTCTACTCTACTCTACTCTACTCTATTTTTCAGGAATTTCAGGTGTTTGGAGATCTTAATGCAGTTGGTGTTTTTAAAAAGGCTCTAACAAAATGATCTGATTCATTTTAGAAACATTCTCCACATTATAGTTAGAGATATTTTGGATCCACAGGATTCAAATTCATTCTTGGGGTTCTTAAAGAAAATATCCCTCAAGTCAAGTTCAGTTCTTGGTGACCCCATTCACATGTTTATCTAGTATTCTTGGCAACGATATATAAATTACTTATTACTGCCTGCCTTTGGGATTTTTTTTAAAGTTCCCAGTCTAACTTGGGTCCTTAAGATTTCCTAAGGCTGCCCATTTCAGCATTTTCTAGGTCCCACCCTACTTAGCTTTTTCAAGATCAGCCAGTTTCAGACTGCCACCTGCTGTTAACAAAATTTGGGTCTGGCCTTGGGTTTACCTGAGTCAGTAATTATAACGTACAAATATTGTCCAGGATGTCTCAAAAAAGTGCTTAGCTTTCAAAGGAAGAAGAAATATCTATTTTCTTCTTTATTTGGATTCACGTGCAGGAAAAGTGGGGAAAGGGAAGGATAACTTCCCCTCTTCTTTCTCCCTTTGCTTCCATTGTTTTGATATGTTTAATCTAAAGCAGAATTTGAGGTGCTTCTTAGGAATAGCACATGTGCCACTGCCACACTCTTTGCATGTAGAAGTTGCATGTGGACAGACTGCAAGGTAGAAGGAACAAGAAAAGGAGCTTTTCTCTTCTTCTTCAGACATTGGTCCTCTCCCAAGATTGCTTGGTAGAAGGAAGGGATCTTTTATTTCCTGAACAACTCTAATTGACTTGGGAAACAAATTGATACGTTTAACTTTATATGCATGAGTTGAGGGAAAGAGGAGAAATCAGTCATGATTTTTTATTACTTCAAGATTATTATGGCGCAGATGTTAAATTCAGTTATTAAAATTATATAGATAGATAGATAGATAGATAGATAGATAGATAGATAGATCGATCTTTGGTTGTTCGGGTTTTCTCCCACGTAAGATTCGAGGTATCTAGGCAACGTTTCAATGAAGTCTCATTCATCATCTTCAGGCTTCTGTCTTCGGCTCTGTGCTTCTCAGAGTGATGTGAGCTCGCAGCTGCATATATATATATATGGCATTCAGCTTTGTTCGGGTATTTTCCCACGTCATTGTAGTTGTGCTTTTAAAGTTGTAGCAACGTTTCGGCAGAATCTTATCTGCCATCATCAGGCTTCTGTATGAATGGCAGATGAGATTCTGCCCAAACATTGCTACAACTTTAAAAGCACAACTACAATGACATGGGAAAATACCCAAGCAAAGCTGAATGCCATACATGTAAGTACCCGTGAAAACTTGAGAAAACACACACACACACACACACACACACACACACACACACACACACACACCTGCTATGAGAATCTTTACTTTCTGGGCTTTTTTTTTCAAACTCTCTTTTTCCTCCATGGTATCACAAATGACAGCCCATTTTGGTGGCATCTGCAACTTGTAGTCAGTTGTCAAAGAGGGGTCAGGTCTCACACATACCGTTGCAATTGCCATCTTGCCTTTTTTTTGTTCCAATTTCCCATGAATTCCCTGCTTCCAGCATTGCCTTATTATACTATCTCTGTTCTGTTCGTTACATAGATGATTTTCTAAGGCTTGACTGACATGGATAATTCTATTTCTGGCAGGGAAGGCCGATCTAATGCTCACTTGAAAGGAGATTTCCAAAAAATTGGAGATGTTATGCTAAAGAATATTCAGGGTATGAAGGTATGAACTAGATGTGATTTATGTGCTAGCTGTTTCTTGGAATGATAATCATACATGAGCTTCTGCTCTACTTGCTCACCAAAATTTAAACAACTCGATGTATTTCTGAACATTTGGTCTGAAGAGATAACAAATCTGTCTGTGTGAAAGCACTTCTTCAATTTGCTCCATTCCAGACGGATTTATGATCCAACAGAAGCACTGAGTGCCTTTTTCCTACACACTATCTCCCCAAGGCCTTCTTACTCTTAACTGTGCTCCGTCATCCTGTGATAGCTGAACCCAGATATTGATTCATGATTTGTTTGAATCATGATCAAATGGGAAAAAAAACATAGTGGTTGAGTTCCCACAGAAAATTAAGCCAAACAGTCAAATTGTATTAAGCTTGTTGGGAATGGAGCATTGCATTGGGAAGAAGAGGCCTTAGGCTGATTCTGCTCTTTGTGATGGCCATCACATTTTTAAAGCAATCAGACTTCAAGAGTGTGTGAAAAAGAAGATTCATAGAGCAAGAGTAGAAAATTTGTGGCTCTCTTAATATGGTTGGATTATTATAATCATGGTTCCTGGCCACTGATTACTTATCTGGGGCTGATGGGATTTTGATTCCAATAATATGCGTACTGTGAGGGAGAAGTCCTGTAAAAGATTCTAGGTCGAGATCATTTCTGTGAGTTGGTTGGCCTTCTATCTATCCTGGGAACTCTTTGTTAGAAAAGCAACAGGGTCCAGAGGTGGTATTCAGCAGGTTCTGACCAGTTCTGGAGAACCGGTAGCGGAAATTTTGAGTAGTTCAGAGAATCGGCAAATGCCACCTCTGACTGGAGATTTTACAGTATCCTTCCCCTGCCACGCCCACTAAGCCACGCCCACAGAACCGGTAGTAAAAACATTTGAATCCCACCACTGACAGGTTCCCACTCTTTTTGCATCTTAAAACTGAACTTTGCCCACCATCCCAACTGTAATTGAAAGTATAGCTCCAGGGGCTTCACTTTGGAATGACTATGTGAAGGGGCAACCAAAGAGAGATCCTTCTCAGTAGTTCTCCCATATATACATTTCTGGAATCTCCCTGTGAAGGCTTGCCTAGGCTTTTATCTCACCTTGTTTCCACAGTGGACAAAACCCTTCTCGGACTTCTCATACTTGCTGAACTCCCTTGGAAATTAACTCTAATATCTTCTATGTTTCATTCATTGCCAGGTTGTATTACAGTGTGGCTTTTATTGTGTTATTTTTTTTAACCAAAAATTGCATCAGAGCTGGTATAATGTGAAAATAAACTTAAATAAATAATTTTTTTCCTACAGGGACTTACCCTCTTCTCTCTCTCTCTCTCCCTCTCTCCTCTAGCAACTAACTGTTCATTTGCGAAAGCATAGTGAAATTCTCCTAGAACTGGAAAATGGGATCAAGAACTCTCGCAGGCTAGAAGCCTTTTGCAGAGATTTTGAGATGCAGAAAGTCTGCTACCTTCCCCTCAACATCTTCCTTCTCAGGCCGCTGCATAGGCTGATGCACTACAAGCAGATAATGGAAAGGCTCTGCAAACATTACCCACCCAATCATGGGGACTTCCGGGACTCCAGAGGTAAATGAACTCTCCCTTTAGTAATTCTCTTAATTTTAAATTTTGGAGAAAGTGACTTCACTGTTTTTTTGGAGAGCAGGAATCTAACCTGGGTAACAATAAGTACTTTGCATCTTTAACAGAAAAAATATTTGTTACAGGGAATTAAAATATACTTCCTATATTATTGGGGGGTGGGGGTTGTATTTGCTTTATTGTTTCTGTTGTGTTTTAGTTGTAAGTCCTGAGTATTTTCATTTTGGCAGCGTTATAAATTTAATAAAATAATAATACCAATCACACATGAAGTGGGAGGAGGGCAGGCAAAGCTTAGCTCTAGTTAGCAACATTAGGCAGAGAGTAGGACAGTAAATGAGCCTGGAAAAAAATTCCTTGAGATTAGCAATCTCACAGAAAAGAGCAGGCAGAGTGAGGAAACAATCAAGGACTATAGAAGACAAATCTAGATATCTACAACCAGAGTAGATTTGCTTTCAGGTGTATGTGCATGATTGATAGAATCTTGATAAATGCATCAAGGTGGTAAATATGTCTAGTAATTTGTTCTAGAATACATTATGCCTTGGCTTCAAAGGCCAATTATGCCCTGATCAAACAAAAAACTTAAGCGCAGCTATAAAAGTGAGATTTAAAAACAAACACATTGTTTCAGGGACCAAATCAAATAATTTATATTAGTTCACTAGCAAACATCCATGGAAACTCATCATCTCCAAGTGAAATTCAGGAATATTTTGAGAGGGCAGATTCAATTTGAAACTGGAAGCCTTGTGGCTATAGATTCTATTTCATTGTTCACAAAATGTTAAACTTTGCATGTTCGTTCTTCAAACTTCTAATAGAATAGCTCTTCTTGACGGCACAATTTCTTTGTTTGTTATATTTTCCTCCTTTCACAGCTGCTCTGGCAGAAATTTCAGAGATGGTGGCCCAGCTCCATAGCAGTATGCTAAAAATGGAAAACTTCCAAAAACTTCATGAACTGAAAAAGGACTTGTTAGCTATGGACAATCTGGTGACTCCAGGAAGGGTAGTTATCCCCATGGTATTTGAAATAAAATATTTGGCTGAAGCAAAAAGCAGTTGTAGGATTCTAGTCAGAATGAAATTGCATCTTGCATTGCTGTGGGCTGTGGGTATGTTTTCTCTAGAACCTACCGAATTAAATTTTTAACCATGTTAGATTTGAGAAAATCCATCGATTGAACCTGTGCTTAAGGTCAGCATGTCCAGAACAGATGACATATCATTTTCTCATTAATATTTCTGTTGGTTAGTAGTAACTCTCTTCTCTAAATTAACTTCACATTATCTGCCTACTTTCCATTCACTTTTCTATCCAAAACTGATACAGGATATTTTTTCAGTTTCCTTGATACCTGACAAAAAGAAGTAGCTTTTTCTTTTCATCTATTCTTTGGTGGTCCATACCCCAGGTGACCGCCCCTACCAAAAGACTAGACTCCTGAGAGAGACCAACCCCACCTCAGCCAGTGGACAAGGGAAATCAAATCATATCGTACAATTACAGCGGATAGGAAGAATAAAGCCCAAAGATACTTTCCACCAACAGTATCAAAAGTCACTGAGATCTCCATTAACATTAACCTGGATGGATTTTTTTTTCTGATTAGCTCCTGGAAACAATCCAGGCCACTTAAATCTGTACCACTAAATCCAAAAGAAGAAAATCTGTTTATATAGCCTCGTAAAAATGTTCTCAATTGTATTTTATACTCTAAAAAAGGACTAAAATGAGTGGTCTTTTCCAACTCTTTCCCTTTGGTTGTATTGCCCTACAACTCTTATTTATTCTTTGCCAGCATTGATGGCAAAATTAGTTACAGTTGTCGTCATAGTAGTAGTAGTACTGTAGTATACGAGTAGTAATAATTCAACTATTATATTTGAATATATACTGGTCTACTGGCATAGAAGTGGTAGAGTAGTAGTAACTCAGTCTTATTTCTATTTATTGCTTTCTACTGTATTGTTTTAATTGCATACTGTACTTTCTTCTACTGTAGAGTTTCCTTTCATCCCCAATGCCTGAGTGAAGTGTTGGCAATTCCATTTAGTGCTTTCATTCCCTGATATTTTTCATTACTCGTCCTTTAATGTCCTATTATGGCTGTGTGGAGTCAATTAAATCAAATCTAACACTCTTGTCTACCGCATGCCAGTGACTGTGATTTATTTATTCATTACACTTAAAGCTCACTCTCGGAGCAGCTTTCAAATGGCTATCTGGTAGGACAGCCCTTCTGTACCTTCATAGGTTTTCAGTCTGTGATAGTTTTGAAATGTCCTATCTAGAGAGGAAAAAGTAGACAGACAGAAGGAACTCAATTAATCTCTCTCTCTCTCTCTTTCTTTTTTTTTTTTTGAATGTGCAAATTATACATACATCGGGTACTTTTCACTTATGTATCTCTCCTACATGTCATTATTAAGTCAATGATACAGCATTAGTGAGTGGATCTGGGAAAGATATTTATATTCATTTCCCTACCCATTAGAGCGGGGAGGCAAGGAATGATATGGGTCCCGTTCCCTAAGGAGGTACATATAATGGAGCCCAGAAAAAGGGCCTTCTCTGTGGTGGCTCCCTTCCTCTGGAATATCATCCCTCCAGAAACTAGATTGATTCCCACTGACCCTCTCTCGGAAGGCCCTGAAGACGTGGTTTCCGCAGCGGGCCTGGGGAACCCATAGTGGGATGGATCCCATTAAATAACTGATATGAGCATATGTTGTCGCTGAGGGTGGATGGTTATTTTGTTATATTTTATTATTATTATTATTATTATTTTTATTCCTTCTATATTGTGTTTTTATTTTCTGTAAGCCACCTAGAGTCGCTGTGAGTGACTAGGCAGCTATATAAATTTTCCAAAATCAATCAATCAATCTATTTCCAAAAATATGCTTTGGAACGCAGGGGGGAGGAGGCACAAACAAACAGGGGGAAAAACCCTCTCTAAAATGCTTTAAAGCATGGATCACACAGGACAGCTGAAGGGTTTGGGGGAAAGGCATAGGTGCTGTACTCTGTATCTTCCACAGCACTTTTTGGAGAACTCAGTTTCAAATGCTGCCAGCCTTAATTATTACTGTCATGCCAACATTCAGCCTGAGGTTTAATGTTTTCTATTTGTGTCTATTCCTCCACAGGAATTTATTAGGTTGGGTAGTCTCAGCAAACTGTCTGGAAAAGGCTTACAGCAGCGGATGTTCTTCTTGGTAAGTGACAGGAACTGCTTAGAATGAATGCAATTAAATACAATTGTGCGACAAATGCCAAGGGAAAAGGAAGGGGGAGGAAATTCACAGAAGCAGTAAGATGCAAACTGTGGAATAATCTAAGATGAGACCTGCAGGTTTCTGTTCTCCAGGGTGAAAGGAAGCTCGGACAAATGTTAAATAAATGAGCAATAGATGGCATAAATACAGAGTGATTCATAAGAAATCAAAATCTACATTCACACTGTGTGCATTTTTTTTCTGATCTTCCTGTGAATTATGAAATATATGCAGGCCAATACATAGATTTCAGAAAATGCTGCATCTAGGATTAATCGAATACAGAAACTGTCAGCCATCCCAACTTGATCAATCAGAAAGAAAGACTCTCACGGCCACAGCAGTAAAAGTATACTTTACTGATGCCCAATGGTTACAGAGTACTAACCCCAAATGTAGCTTTTCGAGCCCAAACAAAGCAAGTAACTTTTCCCCTGGGATTCTTTCCCCTCCCCTCTTATCAATGAGTAACCAATCACTTTCAGATAGTAAATTCATTTGGTAACGGTTCCCAGCTCCCTGGGCTTGAAAGCGTTGCATTCCATTGGGTGACCTTGGAACAGGCCTCAGTTTCCATGGGAACGGTGCCCAGGGTTTCACTTTCTTTTTCTCATTTCTTCCTCCCTTCCCCCATTCTCCCCCCCCCCCGCACTGCTCTCCCCTCTCCCCCGCCCACTTTCCTTAGGACATCCTGGCATCTAGCTAAGCAAGGCCTATGTTGTGAGATGGCAGGCCTGACAGAATTGTTGACTTGGACTTCAAAGTGTAGGATGTGATAAAGTTTGTTTTGGCAATTTAGGCTCTACCATGACTTCTGATCAGAGGTCAGCTAGTTGGAATATAACATGAAAGTATTTGTTCTACATAGAGAAGAAATCTAAATATAGTGTAGAAAGTAGGAGAATGACTTGACTCCTCCCAAGAGTCAAACCGGGCTCTGTCTGAATTTGGCCACTAAATCCTGACTTTATTAAAAGCTTACAATATGAGGTAGTTCTTTGTCATTCAACTTAAATCTCCCATACAAAAGAAGGATCTGCATGTTTTATCTCAAGGAAACATAGCTAGCTTCTAAAATACCAGCATATATTATACTTTTTTGAGGAAAAGCTCCTACGTCTCTAGTGAACAGTGGTGAAGTATTTATACGGGCTTTAAACAGTTTTGAAGAAAATGGGAAACTATTGTATTATTGTAGGTACTGGATGAAAAAATTCTCAAAATAGTGATTAGATGGTTTTCTCCCATGTTCTTAAGGGCTAGTTTAGTTGATTGATCCTCTGGGTTAAAGTAAACATACTGGGATAGCAGTCTCAAATTCTTGCATGTTATTCTACAAAAAACATAACTTGTTTATTAGATCTAAATGACAACAGAGCTGTAAATGCCAATAATGCCAAGTTCATTAAATCATATATAGAATATTAGAAGTATTTAGAGTTCTCTGTTCTGACTAAATTCATGCCTGGTATGTTTTCAGTTCAATGATGTCTTGCTGTACACAAGTCGGGGCCTAACAGCATCAAATCAGTTCAAAGTTCACGGGCGGCTTCCACTGTATGGCATGATGGTAAGTAAATGCTGAGTTGAGACTGGATTGGTTACTATTGAATCCCTTAAAATGTAAAAGGCTGTGGATCATATCCACTGTTTAGAAACGTAAGCCTTCTCAATTACTGTACTCTGAATAGAATAGTTATAGTTAGAAATTTGAAGGAATAAATGCAGCTGGGAGGAAACCGAAAATTTGAAAACTTTTAATAGATTTAACTTCAATCATAGCCATCTTTTCAGATTGCGGGAATTGATGGGGGGGGGGGGCATCTTGCTCCATGGCGCAGCTTTGGTTAATCTTTTCAGATCTGAAGATCCATTAGGTTCTAAATCAGTCCTTTGGAGGCTTGCATAGGAGAGTTTATGTGAATATTTGCTTGTGAATATTTACACCTGAACATCACCTCCTACCAATATAAATTTATTCAGAAGTTAACACACAAGCGATGCACAGGGTTTGTGCACAGATGGAGATGTGGAGGGAAATGAAATTCCAATTTGTCACAGTGATTTGTGACCCCTTTGTTGACAGAAGACAAGCCAGAAAATTCATGTCTCTCTTCCAAGAGAGGGGGAGGAAACTCACTGTGACCTCACTTCAAGTCCCCGGAGATTTTTGAGCTCTCTTGTTGAAGGGGATAATCAGCAAGGCTGGTCCCTTCCACACAATGGAGAAGAGCAGTAAAAGGATAGAGATCAGTGCCCTGTTGCTTCTACTGGCAGCAACAATGTGAAGCCACATTTTCTTTGCTAGAAAGAATGAACTTGACAGGATGCTGCATACATAAGAATGGCAGCAGGCATAGATGACCCACGGTTTCTACTATGCCACCTGCCAAGCTCCAGCATTTTTGAGAAATACACCCTTGGAAAATATTCAGAACATTTGCCCTTAATTTGACGTCTACCATAGAAAATAAAACAGCTGCCTGTATTTCAACCCTGAGGTTGGCCTGTCCTATGCTAAGGAGGTGGTGTATATGATTCTGATGCCCATATTCTCTCTTTGATTGATTTATTTTTTGTTGTGGCTTTTAATGCATGTGGACACGCTTCAGATCTAACTAGAGTATTGTCTGCAGCTACGTGTTTTCCCACCCCTGAATAGTTTTGCATTTTATCTCATCCACTAACTCTGCATGTTACCAGGAATGGCTAGTAACCTTGGAGCAGCAGGCTTTAAATAGCTATGATTGCGGAATCCTTTGTGCTCTGTGAGCTTAGTTATTTACTTCCCCAACTAGGTAGCCTCATCAGTGCTAGTGATTGTGGGGTAGGATCCCTGTTTCTATACAATAGCTTGCCCTGCCCAGTGTTGGGGATGTCGTTTTCTCCTTGGTAGTTCCATGATGAGGGTATTGTTTTCTGCTGGATTGTTTGCCTGGGCCCTACATATCTGGATTTCGGCTGCTTAAAGGGATGTGTTCTGCATTTTTTGCTTCCTTCTTAACTTTTTAATTGTCTCTTTTAAATGGTGTATTAAGCGTGGTATATCTCTATGAGTCTATTGATGGCTGATTTGTCTGAAAGTCAAGCCTCCGGTCTAGGATGCTCACAGTTTCCCAGTTGAAACTATGGTTGGGTCTCTTCATGAGTTATGAAAGTAAGGCTTTTTCGTTCACTCTTCTGATTGCAGCTAAGGGTTCATAGATATGCTCTGCTAGCTTTTTGTTTGTCAGTACTAAATAGTAGCTGTTACTATGTAACAGCTATAATTATTTCTTTTCAGAATTTCCATATTGGTAAAAAGAAAGCCATCGTTGCATTCTTAGTGAAAAACAATCAGACTGTGGTAGCTTGATTTTTTTAAAATTACAGTCTACATGTGTTTGAAAATTTCTTTTCCCTTTGTAGAATGATGCCTATATTTTTATTTTCTCAGATAGAAGAGAGTGAAGAAGAATGGGGGGTTCCTCACTGCTTTACACTTAGAAGTCAACACCAATCCATTGTTGTTGCTGCGAGGTAATTGCCTTGAACCACATGCTTCTATAATGTCTATGTAGAGTTTTGAGACAGTGATGCCTGTCCTACAGAATATGTGCTTTGGATTCTTGTGGGTATGTTGAATACCCTTTTGCAGTAAACAAGCGGTAGCTAATATAAAGTAAAGTAAGCTTGCAGAGCAGGAGACGATAGTATGCTCTCTATAACTTGATCTGGACTTTTTACAAAGATGTTTATCCCTTTAACCCCTGTCCCGCCTGCCCAAAAATAGTATGAAAGCAGGATTTGGCTTAATTTTGCCCAACTTCTGAAGCTCTGGAAAAAAAAAGCAAGAACTGCCCTTTTACAAGTCACAGGAAGCTGGGTGGGATTCAAATAATTTAACAACTGGTTCTCTGCCCTAATGATTTCTTTCAACAACCAGTTCACAAAACTGCTCAGAAACTTAACAACCGGTTCTCCCGACGTGGAGCGAACTGGCTGAACCCCATCACTGCTGTGAAGACCTCTTCCCCAAAGTATTGGGCTAGGATGGGGATAGAGCAGGGAAGCTGTGTGGCCCGGCATCATGAGGAAAGGGTACTTCTGTTTTTATCTTTGCTTTTATGTATTGTGTGAGCTGCCTAGAATCGTTATATGTCAATAAACAATAATCCTCTATTGTTTTCCTAGTAATCGCATTGAAATGGACAAGTGGACTGAGGACATACAGATGGCCATTGACTTGGCAGAGAACTGTAATGATCCTGCTTCTGAATTCCATGGAAATAGCCCTTCTGACACAAGTAAGTCCGGAACCATGAAAGGTGGGGTCAATTCTAGAGTTCCAAAGTATCATTATACGTACAGTACATTTTGCAGGTACCCTGCTTTAAAAACAAGGAACCATATCAGTATGGTCTTTTCTTATCTAATTTCAGTTCAGATAGATCATGAGTATCAAACTCAATCAATGACGATTTTTGCCTTTGCGTAGTTGGGGTGGGCGTGGCCTGTGTGTGATGCATGCAACCCATGGGCCGCCAGTTTGACAGGCCTGAGATTATATGGCAATTGGTTTGTGGGTATCAAATCCTATTTTTTTATTCCCTTTTAAGAATTTGAGAAATGTATTTAATAACAGTAAATGGAATAGTATGCAAAGTGCTAAATGAAATAATACTGAAATTAAAGAATGCCTTCTGTGTCCCAAAACAATAATTCATGTTTCACTGAAGTGTGTACGAAGTCATTCTATTTACAGCAGAGAATTATTAAGGGCCCAAATTATAAATCAGTGTTTCTGAACCTTGGCAAATTTAAGACTTCAGCTCCCAAAATTCCCCAGCCAACATGGTCCGTGCGGACTGGAGAATTCTGGGAGTTAAAGTCCATACATCTTAAACTTGCTACAATTGAAAAACACTGTTATAAATAATAATAATGTTCCTGTGCACAATCCCATATTGGATTATCAATTATTCAGTTGGCAATTAATTTCTTATTGGGATGCTTTCCTCAGGGAAAAATATATTTCTCTCCGTTTTCATGTTTTCCCTATACAACCAACTCAAAACAGGCAATGACTTCTTTACCATTTTGGAGATTTCCCTGTATCAGAGACAATCTTTTGCTTATGATTTCATGCTCCGTATACAAGGGGGGAAAAAAGAGGCTTTTTCCCTGCATTTCATAGAGTCCCCTGAAGAGCCCATTGTAGACCAGGAATCGGAAGACGATCTCAATGCATCCCGCACCTCGCTTGAACGTCAAGCTCCTCACCGTGGCAACACTACGGTGCACGTCTGCTGGCACAGAAATACCAGTGTCTCCATGGTCGACTTTAGTATTGCGGTGGAGGTATCTGGCTCAAAATGGCTTGGACTGTAGCTCGAAAGAGCCATCTTCCTCAGGCGCCATTTCCTTTCCAGTTGTTGCCCTCTTGGTTAATTGGAAACTATTGAGTCCACTCAAAAGAGATGATGATTTTACAGGGAATTTATGAATAATTTGAATTTCCATATGACACCTTTCATGCTTCTAAATTAATTTCCACATATTGATATCAAGAGGGGTGCTTCTGAGTATTTTTGTTAAAAAATCCTCAGGGTATTTGGAAAGGGCAATAAGTCTGTCTATCCGCTGCAGTCTGAAGTGTGCATTTCTTTGCAACTTGTTTTATTTTCTGCTGTCTTATTATTCTCTGGAGCCTTACAGTATTCTCCTCTCAGCCTCATCTGCCTCTCTCCTTGTTTTCTTTATCAGAGAAAATCTCTCTGTGTATTTTTAAAGATGCATTCTGACTATAGCTAAACCAATTTGACACAGATTGACGAGATATGGAATCCAGATTCTCATCTCAGATCAGTGAAATTTGCATGGAAAGTATTGCATTTTCATATCAACTCATGTGATCTCTTACGTGGAACTTCAGTGTTTGATTTTGTCAAAGGTAAAGGGGATATTTGTAGAGATCATAATTATTGCTCTACTTTCAGTTCTTCTTCATAAAGTAAGACTCGGTCCAGTTCTGTTGAAAAGTAGAAGGAAACAGTTCTTCTGAAGCACATACATTTTCTATAAAATTGAGTTCAAGTGGGGAAAAAAACATAGAATTTCATTTCAATTAGAAATTGGTTTAGCTTCTTTAAGGTACCTGCAGACACCCATTTCCAAAGGAATGCCTCTAGGTTGTTTTGGCTACGGGGAACTCATTGAATATACATCCCTTAGTTTTATAGAATAAAAGGATCTATAGCTTTAAAAATAAAAATTTTAAAGAACTAAGTGTTTCCCTTGGATTCAGACATACCTAGTTGTAAATACATGTTATTCTTACTTCCGGGAGTGTGTGTTGCATGTTCTATCAGAATCATCCTAGTTCTTCACCTCTGGAGATCAAATGTCACAGCCAGACCATCCTCACATACTTGGAGTTTATCACATCAAGCAACCTAGAAGCAGATCCATGTACACTCACACACCTGTCTTCAGTTCCACAGCTTTTCCCATGACCAGCAAGTTACAGTCATACTTTCCTAATTCTGTGTTTAATGTCACATCAGCATTATAGTTTATGCTTTCTCTCTGTGTCTTTCCTTCTTTCCCTCCTTCTTTCTCTTTTTCTTGTGGTAGAAGACCCTCTCACTGTCAGTGACTGTCCTTCCCCACCTGTTGGACTGATCAGTGATCAGCGGCCTGTTTCCATTTCATATGTCTGCTGGTACCGAATGCAAAGCCTGTCCTTTTATGATACCCTTCAGAAAATGAGGTAACCAAAATCAAAAAGTAGAGAATTAGGACTACATGTGTGTTATTGTAGCTCAGTACACACACACCCTGTCTGGTTTTTTTTTTTTTGAAACTGGAATGGGTCAAAATGAAAGCTTTCAAAATACAGTAAAATGCTTGTGAGCCCTGTTGGCAATTTGGAAGGCAATTGTGTTTCCTTTTAACTGTTTTGATAAGAGCGTAGTTCATTATGCTGCTAAAACCTCAAGCAGAATGATCATAAAACTTCCACAAAGAGAGCAAAAAATCAGCAAGACTGATTATTTTTAAATTAAAGTGTGGGTTTATCTCCTCTTGTCGTAATCATTGGATGTGTTTGATATTTGGCATCTAGCTTCTTTCAAATATATGATAGGCAAACATTTAATCCAAAGCACCTTAATTTAACTATTTCACACACACAAAAAGTTTTCAAAAATTTAATTCCAAGCAAAATCTCTCATTTATGCAAGTTTACAATTTACCTACATTTTACCTATTAAAATCAGTGGGGCTTAAGTTATTGTGATTAAGCTACCTTTGTAAATATGATTTAAGAGAAACACATTCATTTTCTGGATCCTTTTAAATAGTGGTGTTGGGCAAAATATTCTTTATAAAAATCCCCACCAGCACAAAGAATTGTAATTTAGAATCAATGTAAAATTGTCTTCTAGCCACCTGCCCTTAAAATCAATACATCAAATCTGCTTCAGCAAGTAGCTGGATTTAGCTAGTCTTGGCTGATCTCAGGAGCAAAGCAGCCCTGGTAACTAGCAAACTAGCCCAGGTTTGCCAGGAATTTCAGGCCTAGAACAAAAGCTGAGAAGTCAAGAGAAAAAAGGCAAGGGCAAAACACTTATGTAACTTTGTCAAGAAAATTGCATGTCTGCCAATACCACCTCAGTTTGAGTGGGGCTTCTAATAAGGTAACAGCAGATAATTTATTTCTTTCTAGAATTAACTTACAAGCCGACCTCACTGACTGAAACAGTTCAGAAACTTGAAGTGCAATCTATTACCATTTTCAACAGACAAAAATAAACCGTTCCAATTTAAGCTGGGAGGGAAAAATGCCCTTCTACATGAACCTTGCCTGCTTTCCATCATCTTGTTTTACCATCTCCGTGCATTTTTATTTCGTTTGTTGTACGATTTCCCTCCTTCTTTCAGAACCAACTTTCTGGAAACCTCCTGCGGAAATTCAAAAACAGCAATGGGTGGCAGAAGCTTTGGGTAGTGTTCACCAACTTCTGCATGTTTTTCTACAAATCTCACCAGGTAATTTAATTCTTCTGAAAGCAGAAAATAATCTTTATGTTAAGTTGTTCGCATTAGAGGATTGAAATGCAGCTTGATTAGCCTCAGGAGAGCTAGTATAGATAGTCCTTGACTTGCAACAGCAATTCGGATAAGAATTTCCATTGCTAAGTAATGTAGTTGTAAAGCACGACTGGATCACTGAACAATGGCAATCCGTGTAGTCCTGGTTATTGCACTCATTAGATGAGTCAAATTCTTGCCAGCTTCCCACATCCAATAATCTTGGGAAAGTGGGCAGAAAATTGTAAGTCACTCATGGGCAGCTGAGTGGCTGTTGCCAGGTGAGGGAAGGAACAAGGGTGTATGGGGAAGGGTCGGAGAGAGAGTGTGTGTGATAGTGCAAGGGATTGTGCAAGAGGTGGCACATGGGTTGTGAAGAGCGAGAAGGGCTGTGTGGATCGAAAAAGATGATAGGGGATGTGAGAAGATGAGTGAGAAGTATGGTGTGGGTCGGGGAGAGTGGAAGGGAGTGTGTTGGAGTATTTCTTGGGTCAGGCAGAGTGTGAGGGGATGCCCGAGGGGCTTTGTATGGCTTGGGGAGGATATGAGAGGGTCCATGAGAGCTTTTTGTATAGGTCAGGAAGAATAAGGGACTGTGTAAGAGGGTGCACAAGAGGTGTAATGAGAATCAGAAGGAGTGCAAGGGGTGTGCAAGAGGTGCCACCCAAATCAGAGACCGTGCGTGGGGGTTGGGGATGATATGCAGAATACACGAGTGGCTGACGCAGTGCAGTTGCAGAGGATCTGGGGGGGGCGTGGGTGTACCAGTGGGAAGACTTACCTCAAGTGCTGGCGACCTTCCTGCTGGCTTCTCCATAGACGTTCTTAGGAAGCCAGCAGGGAAGGTTGCAAAATGACAAGTGCATAATTGCTCTGCGATTGGCAACCGGTCATAAGTGCAAGTGGGGTTTACAAAGACTCAGATTGTGATCACATGACCATGGCGTTGTTAGGACTGCTGGAACCCCCAAGGACTGGCTGTAACCACCATTTGTTCAGTGCCACTGTAACTTGGTTGCTGATTTATTTACTACATTTTAATCCTGCTTTCATTATTGTTTATAAGTAACTCAAGGTGGCAAACATACCTAATAGTCCTTCTTTCCCAATGCGGTGGGGTGGGGTGGGGTGGAAGAGAGTGACTGCCCCAAAGTCACTCATCCAACTTCCATGACTAAGGCCAGACTAGAACTCATAGCCTCCTGGTTTCTCACCTAGTGTCTTACCTACTAGACCAGACTGGCTCTTAGCTGAATGAATGGTTGATTGGTTTGATCAGGTGGTTTCAATAGTCATAAGTCAAGGACAGCCTGTATTAAAAATTTCTGCAATGAAATTGTGCATTTTCATGAGTGCTGTTTGAAAGCTGCTATTCCATTAATAGTGGCTTTGGTTCATACATTTCATTTCTCTAGGGAAGGGTACACCTAAGGATATTTGAGATTAATTAATATGAAGCACTTTAAAGAAAATGAATTAGCTGCAGGGACAATTAATTATGAATAAACAACGGAGAGAAAAATCAGCATTGAATTCTACAGTTTATTCCAAAGGCACTTGGTGGATTTCTGAGAATTCTAAATGTTTCAGGATTTCAGAGGCGTAATTAAGTGGAAGTGCATGATTAATAACTCTGCAGATAAAACTAATCTAATTTTTATCTGCAGAAGTCTGCACCACTACAGAAATCTGCTGTCCAAACTTCTACGTAACTTGCAGACTTATTAATATATATTTTTAAGGTACATTCCTGCCTGCCCTCAAAAGAGAAGGTTATTCTTGATGGGGTATTTTGCTACTAGAAAAGGTTAAGTTTATAGTAAGAAAGTAGCAGTTGAAATGTGATGTCCAGATTTACATTGGCACAAATAAGGCTGTGTGTAGAAAACAGAGGAACTGAGCAGATTGGAAGCAGATGGAGCACAGAAAATCACTGAGGGAACGAAATAAGCAATGCAGCCTTGTTCTTTCTGCTTCTTGCCTTCTTGTTCCATCCAGTGGTTTCTTTATGGACTCTGTGCATCACACATAAGAGTGTAAGCTACAAACCCCCTCATGTTAGACATTTTAGTCCTCTTTCATCTATTGCACTGTCCAATGGCAATGTAAGTCTTTGCTAGCATCGTTATCTTGAAGATCAGGGCAATCACCTGAACTGTGGGCTTTTTCTTGAGAAAATCCTTATTCATCTACCTTCAAATATACTTTTGATGTCAGCTACGGAGGAGGTTCAAGAAGAAGATGGCACTCTCCCTATTTCTCATTGCCATGGTTTTGATGCGCTTCCTGTCTTATGGTCTTTAAGATACGGTGCCACAAGGGTTTAAAATAATGTAGTTAGTTACTTCCCTTGGACAGTGATTTCTTGTGGAAACTATATGTGTAGTAGGCTTTTCTTAATAGTCCAAATTTCATGAAGCAAGCCCACCAAAGCTAGTACAACTAGTCCAGAATCCCCATCCTTAAGCAACATGGTCATAAAGTTCAACATTGCATATCTGTGCCATTTAGCAATGGCAGTTCCTGCAGTCCTGTTTGTCATTAAGGGAGGACATCATGTGACTGAGACTTCCAACTTCCTTCTAGCTTCCTCATTGACTTTGCTTTTTGGGAAGCCAGTAGGGAACATCAGAAATTGCAGTTACATGACTATTTTCCTTTTAACTTGCACATCACATTATTTTTCATGTATAGAAGAGCTAACAGTTTTCTCTCAATCTCTTCCTCTTTGATCTCTCTGCTCTGCTGTCCTTTGCAGAGCAAAGAGATTGGATAGAAAGAGATTTCATGAAAATAGTGCAAGCAATAGTTTGCAATAGTGCATTTGTGGGTCCTAGCTCCAGGCTGCCAGTAAAGTTGCATTGTTTTTGATGTGTAGAACAGCAAACAGCTTATTCTCTTGCAATCCCTTCCTCTTCAATATCTCTGCTCTGCAAGTAGATGAGAGGGGGAAAAGAAAAGGTTAGAATACTACATATGACTGTAATGACCATGAACTGAGGGATACTGCAAAGGTAACAAATAGTCATCAATTGGTCATATCATTGTTTCTTCAGAACTTTGTAACTTTGAATGGTTTCTGAGTGATTATTGATAAGCAAGGACCACCCATATGTACTGTGGAAATTTTGCTTGCATCAGCTCAAGAAAATGAAATAAGGAAGAGAGTTGCCAGTGATCATGCACTATGGATGAAGGTCCAAGTCTACCATGAACCATAGAATATTCTGACCACCCTTTCCATGTCAGAGTCCATATCACTCACAAATAACCACTTGAATGCCACAGAATGATGAGCAACCACTCCTTTCCCCTTGCACATCTGGTCAAAAATAAATATAGTAGACAAGAGGAACAGGAACATCTGTGTTTCAGCCACATTATAGGGAGTGTAGCAATTGTCTTAGTAGTGATTCACATTAAGGTGCAATTTGTGTGGGGTCCCTTTCACAGAAACTCTTCTCAGTTCCAGTAAGATACAGGGAAGAGACTGCCTTCTGCACAGAGAATCCAGTTTTTGTAAAGCATTAAAGACTCTGTGGTTTCCCTGGGCATTTGATTTAGGTGGTTAGGTAAACTCTGCTGTTGTTGATTTTTATGAGCAGAGCTTTTGTTTTATCCTTGGGTGCTGATCAGAGTCACAGATGAGCAGTCATATAAATCATGTAAATTCCTTTGTTCACTCACTGGGCTCTGAGTGTAGTGGTGACGGTGCTGGCCAAGAAACCAGGAGACAGTGAGTTCTAGTCCCGCCTTGTGCATGAAAAAACACATGGGTAGCTTTGGTCCAGCCACTCATTCTTAACTCACCAAACAGGGTTGGTTTTCTGCAGAAAATAGGAAGGGGAATTGGCATGTTAGCTGTCTTGAGTTGCATATAAAAGATGTGATAAAAAATTCTAAGGAAAGAGAATCTTGAGCAAATTCCATCCCATAAGCACGTGTACAATGGCAAGATAAGAAGCCAATGTCTTTTGAGGAGGACCTTCCTGGGTTTTGTCTTTTGCCTTTGAAACATACTGGGATTTGATGGTAGGAAGATAGTTTTGAAGCTCTTTGCATGCAGTTTTGTCAATTTGTGAAGCGAGACCTTTGCTTTTGCCACAACCTCTATTGCCTTTTATTTTTAGGACAATCATCCCTTAGCTAGCCTTCCTCTGCTGGGCTATTCTCTTACCATTCCTTCTGAATCTGAGAACATTAATAAAGACTATGTCTTCAAGCTACACTTCAAATCCCATGTGTACTATTTTAGGGCGGAGAGTGAATATACATTTGAAAGGTATGTTTGTTTATTGTGATTTTACTAGATATGATGCTGTTAAATTGTATCATTAAAATGGATGGGTAATAAGTATTTTTATGATCCAGCCAATTTAAGTAAAGCAACATGAGTTCTATCAAGCAGCTAAAATGTCAGATTGTTTGTTTCCTACAAAATGTGTTGGGTGCAGACTTTTCCAGTCCAGAACCAAGAATCTCTCAAGATCATTAAATCACATTATATTTAGCTTATCTCCTGCATCATTTCCAAAATCTTGTATCCGTCTTGACACAAGATGTCATAAGCATTTTACAAAGCACTAAAATCTGGCAATATCTTGTAAAAGAATATCAAAATGTTGTGAAACTGAAATTTGAGGTATCTAAAGTTTTGAAAGGGAGAGTAGGGATTGTAATTTTTTTTAAAAAATCACCAAATATTTTGATACTTCTTTATGAGAATACTAATTCTTTGATATAAAGAATTTATCATGTTTACAATGTGTGCAGAATTATTCACCCAGGAGAGAAGATTGTATAAGGCCTCTCATACCTCACAAGGTATTCATTTTTGTTGAGAAATAAAAGTTATAGGTATAGTTCATACTAGAGGTGAACAAAATATTCTGTGCATGACTTAGATCTAATAGCTTAGATCTAATTGTTTACTTACATGTACAGACTGAAATGTAATTGTGCTGGACAGAAATTATTTGGGATGAGATTGGTAGGTAAGAGTAAGAAACAACCAAGAACATTAGCAATCTGAATAATCATTTCCATCTAAAAAGAAAGTGAAAAATGTGGTACTGGTCTTGTAAATTTTCAAACTTTCTACTGTGAAACCTAAATATTCTGTAGCAAAGTACATTTAAATAAATGTGTCTTCCTCCATAATGTAGGTAAAGTTTAGTTTACAAATGGTGGTTGAATGCAGGATTTCTCAAATTCCAACAACTTTAGAATATGTGGACTTAATGCTGGCTGGGGAATTCTGGGAGTTGAAGCACATCTTAAACCTGCTGGGGTTGAAAAATCTCTTGCACGGAACCACTACTACTGTTTTCCCTCTGCCATCACACTGCTCACAGTGGAGGTTTTGAGCTCTTTCCATACAAGGTCCCATCAGAATTCCCATGCCTGGTTGATTGTCCCAGAGAATTGAACTTGAAATGGGTGAAACAAAGACTGGCATTCCAGTTCACTTTTTTTTACTGTATCCCCCACGGTTCTCTTAATGTTTTCTAGCAAAGCTATTAGGATGGAAAAGGCAACCTATGTCTTTAGGACAGCCTGTGGGAAGAGTTCTCTCCATTGTTCTTCCCCAAGTCCATCCCACTCTGGCCAACCAGATCAGCTGTTGAAAGAACAGGCTGGAATAGAATTGGGAAAGAACATGTCCTGCAGACAGAAGCAGAGCCGTCTTCTCCGTCCCTTTTGCCATCCTACTGACCTCTCCCAAACTCACCTAATATGTTTACCTATGTGAAGCCACATCCACAACAGAAAAGCTTCCCACCTGTGCAGCGTAGCAAGTCCTGATGGTTGTCTTTCTTCTTGCTTAGGTGGATGGAGGTAATCCGAAGTGCCACAGGCCCAGCCTCACGTGTCCGTGTATTAAGTCATGAAGAATCCCATGTTTATTGATGGCTGAACTCCAAATGGTTCATTCCAGCAACTGCTGCTTTTTTAGAGGATATTTGAATTAATTTCCCGCCTTTTAAGATTTAGTAAAACACACATCTATTAAAAATGTTTTGAATCAGCTTTTGAAATAATGCCTCAGCAGGTTTGTTTACTATTATCAGCCACATGAGGGTTTCATGTCTTGTATTTGTTCTTTGGTGTGGTTTTTTAGCTTGTGCCAGTATTAAAATATTGTCCCTTGGAGTGCCAAATGCCGAAAGATATTTCTTTGCCTGAAAAAATTTGCACCAGAAATATATAGACCAATTTTGTAGCAAGTTCATTTTTTTTATATTTCCTTGAAAACAAGATGCCTCTTCTTTAGTATACAGACCCTCAAAATGAGTTTTGGACTGATTTTTGGTTTGGTTTCTTATCTTCTATTCACTTTACCACCTCAACATAAATCTTCAAGGTATAAAGTTTTTATTTTTGATGTTTCTACACAGTTTGCTTGTAAGAATTAAAACTGGCAGCCCAATATGTAGTTTGTTCAATTCATCTCACTTCTTGAAGTTGGAAATATTTCCTTCCTATGCTGTCAGATGGGTTTGCCTGCTTTTTTTTTTAATGAAAATTCATATTGAGATAGAAAATCATGCCTGAGAAACAGTTTACATATTTTACCCCATGAAATACTCGTAACGATGTGTTAGGAAGCTTAAGATGGTATAATATTTTGTGTAACAAAATGTCAATATCTGTGTTCTACAAGGATTGTGGCATTAACTTTTTGTCAGAAAATTAGTGTTTCAATAAGAACAGAGGCGGGTGCATCTTTTCAAAGGAAACATTTGTTTCTGTAATGTTTTGTCCCAATATATCCTGTGCTTCTGCACCTTTATAAGTGGTACTATAAATCAATTCATATTTTGTCTGTACAAATTGGGAAGCAATTAGAAATTAAATATGTTCATTTAATCGATGTCCAGCCCACTCAAGAGTCCAAAACAGCCTTTCTCAACCATTTTTCCCCTGGAGGAAGCCTTGAAATAATTTTCAGGGCTCAGAAAACCGTTGCATAAAAATTGTTCTATCTAAAGCTCACGGTACATTACTATGATCAGCAAGCTGGGTTGCAGTAAAAATTCCCACCTTTGGGAGTGTTGGCATTGCATGGCACACAAGGTTAAAAAAATAGTATTTTTTAAAACATAATAATGACCTCTCATGGAACACAAGTTGAGAAAGGCTGTTCTAAAGATTGACTGAGAATATACGCTTTCCAGCCATTGAAATAGATTTATTCTGTATTATTAGATGTAATATGAATCCCACATCATTTGTCACGCATTTTAAGAGAAATGGTTACCACCGTATCAATCAATCTCTTGCTTTAAGAGCAGGTTTGCCAAATATAGAGGCTCTGTTGTATAAACATGTTTTAAGATTTGCTTACTGAAAAGGGAATAAAATACCTCAACAGCTTTAAACACTGTATAGCTTTGAGGGTTTCCTTTGATGATGTTTGTTTCTTGCCATTTACAAATCAAATGTTATTTTGAATGTGCATAATTGATATCACATAATTTATGTGTGCACAACTGATTTAGGCAACAAAGTTCATCAAAATGAGTGCATGAAAAGTTGTCCAGTCACACTTCCTTTGGTCTACATATCCCGACGTGCATTTTGCAATCCAGGGTTGGTTCAAAAGTTTTTCTCTCCCATACCTCCCCACCCTCCCCCGGGTTGTGGCTTGATTTTTCCAGCTAAACCATGAGATTGAAGCAGAATCCTAGAAGGTTGTTAGACTCTTGTTGCTGTAAAAAAGAGCCACTCCTTTTTAATTGTTTTGTTTTTAAGTGGCGGAAAGAAGATGAACCATGTCAACTAGGCTGCTGTTGACCTCATTATGTCTCTTTGAAACCTCCCCAGCTTCTTTTGTTTGAGAAGTAAACAGCTACAAATAGATTGGGAGAAGAAAATAAAAACAAAACAGCTGGAACTATATTTAGAGACATTTTTGCATATAATTTTGAGGGTCATATAAAATCATCATGCAAACTTATGCCCATGTTCCTTATTTACTACTGCAGCTTTTAGCTTATGCCTTTTCTGTTCGGCAAGGTTTGCAACGGTTTGGTCTTAGCAGCTGGATTTGCTTCCTGGGAAGTCACAGTATTGTAATGCTAAATGTGGCCCAAATTTTCAGCTTTTGCCACTGTCTGTTCCTCAGGATATAAATATCATGAGCTCAAATCACTTATTCAGTGTTTTCTATTACCTATCAGAGACCTCTTGCAGGAACATTGCTTTATAACAGTTTATTTTTGCTTTCAGCTGTTGCTATTTAGATTTACATACAAAATTTAATAATCACGCTGCCTTTTTTTTTTTTGAACGATGTTCCTAAATAAAACAGCAACAAAAGTGGATATAAAAGTTTTCCCCATTTTATTCCAAAGCTACACCTTTCAGATTACGATATGGTTTATGTACTTCTATGTTTGGTTTCAAATAATTAAAACTAATTAAGTAATTAACTGAAACAAAGAGTTTATGCCAACTGCATTGACATTTCCATGATTAGATAGATGTAGGTGATAGATGTGTGAGAGAGAGGTGGGGGGGGGGAGATGTGGGGGGGGAGAGTTTGGAATAATTAAAGGAACTAAACAACCCTTTACTGACACGGCTTATACTCATCAGTTTGGCAAGATACCGTCTGAAAATTTTACTGACTGACTGCAAAATGGATAAGCCCATATGTGGTGTGAGTTTAGTCATATATGCATGACACTTCTTACATTGAAACTGATTTCAAAAAGTACACACCTCTCTTGCAATTCTGTTTTAGTCTAACCATGACTGAGGGGGAAAAACACTCAAAATTCTTAGGCAATATTTCCACCTGTACACAACCTAACAGTTTGATAAGCATATTTACATCCGTTTTTCCAAAACATTGCAGCCATAATAGTATTTGGACTTTCAGTAACACAATAGCTTATAATTCTGTTTTTCCCTTTGAGTGTCACTAAATTCTGAAGTGTACTCCCTTGTAAAGTATGTGATATAAATACGCTGCTCAATAACATATCAAAATGGTTGTATTTCTTTATTTCTGTGTCATGAAACATACAAGGTTTTGAAAATAGGTTGATATCTGACATAGGCAAATATACTGTATACAGGTTATAAACAGCAGAATTACAGAAGTAAACAGAGCCTGATCAAAGAATAGGTCTTCACTGCATATGTCACACGATGGCTAAAAATAGGACCTCCATATGGATAGAGATAAAAGAGGCATTCCCAGATCCTTATGAAAAAAAATAAGCCAAATATTAGGCCACTATGTTGTGCATTTCCAAAAAGCAACTGTTGGCCAGAGTTAGACCTTTGCCATAATTCAGCAAGGAAATCATAATTTTATGCTTCTCTTAAAAAAAGCATCCAGTTCATACTTAGAATATTTTATCCAGCTACTGTGAATTACTCAAGCATGTAGATGTTTTGAATATGCAGACTCTACTAAAAGTTGTTAGATGACAGAAATATACAATTACTGCTCTCTTTCTGGTATCAATAATTTTAAATCTGAAGACCTTTAGATTTATGGCTCTTAACAATTAAACATCTCTAATTAAAAACATTTCTAGTTCACCATAATGTACAACAATTACTATGCTAACCTAAAAAAGCAAAAATAAAGTCTCGTGATATCTTAACCAATTTATTATGCCATGAATTGGATTAGAGATCAGTGAGATTGATTTACTACAGTGTTTAAATTGGAAAATTTCCAGGAAATATTCTGGGATACTTAGTGTAAATTTTCTGAAATATTACAAGTATTCTAGTGTACAGTGTTATATATACTCTTTGTGTTGTGTATATAATGGAAAGGAGGATTTTATGTGCTAATTTAAGCACTTTCAATGTTCTATGCATCATATATGCACATATCTTTGCTAGAATAGCTTCTACCTCCCACCCCATGTGAAATTACTTGTTTGGACATGGTGAAAGAGCCATAAGCTACATTACTAATTCATTTTATAAATTTGGAAATGAAAACTAAAGGAACATATCTTTTCCACTAACCTTCTACTTTGTCAGGTGCACAAGTGGACTAACCTTCTACTTTGGACTAACCTTCTACTTTGTCAGGTGCACAAGTGTTACTAAGATTTTGTGTATGTCCATGTACATTATGAGTGCCAAAGGGGGAAAAATCAATAGATGGAAAAACCACAAAATTCTACATGTAACTGCAAATTTCAGTAGTTTGCATTCTACAGGTATATTTCACAGCATTCCAAACCCACAATAAATAATTGCTGACTAGTAAAATTTTATTCGTGTGATAAAATGGACTCCTGCCCATTAACATTTATCTAATAGTATTTCAGTTAGTCTTTAAAATGCCAAAATAACTTGCTTTGCCATTTTATGTATTTACGACTTCAATTCAGTAGAAGATTGACAAGGATACAATGAAGTCTAGTTTTATGTTTGTGCTACGGCTCACTGCCTATATATATGAGGGTGGAAATTGATTTCAGCACTTTGTATCCCAATATACCTGTTATCTTGCAACTTCAAAATTAAATTCTTCCATCCATTGATACATGACACATATATAAGCCAATATAAGATACACTCCCATTTGCACGAATGGCTGCAAAATTCCACTATTCAAAAGCAACTTCAATAGGTTCTAAACTATTACAAAAATATCAATACTGAAAATTATGTAACATACAAAATGCTTCCTATAAGGGTGATGAACTAATCAAAATATAGTGCAATGAACTCTGAGGCCGGGGGGGGGTGAGGGGGGGCAGGTGGAGGGTGGCACCTAAATGATTGTGAGTAAACAGGAACAATTTCTCACAATTTCACAAGAAAAACCAGTGGTCTCAAAAGTTGATTTACAAGTGTGTGGCTATAATGGAAATATATATTCTAATTAATAGTTAAAAAGTGGCCCAACAGACCCAGATAGAAAACCTTTGCAGTTTGAAAGACTTGGCTTACTTTTAGATTGCTTAGCAATTTCATTATGAAAAATGGGAAATTCCTCCACTCTACACCAACATATTTTGGTGCCCTTTAGTAAAACGACAGAAATATTACCTTATTTAATACGCAGGAAACTGCTATCAACCTCCAAAGAATAATCCTGAATACATATAACACTGCAATGCTGGGTTTGTTTAGGGAAGTTCTAAAACAATATTTAAAGGATCAATAAACAATACTGTAAAGTTAAACAGTCAGAGTAAAAATGGACTTGAAACACCAAAGGGTGTTTTAGAGTTTAAATTTGATTACAATATAACGCAAAGACAATTCGCTTTCACCAAGTTGTTTCATGTATATCAAACAAGATGTCATTTTGAAAATCTGTGCATATTTACAATTTGTATGGGATTAAGTCAATTAAACTGATATTTAAATAAACTGCACTGGCTCAAACAGCAAACTGCAAAATAGTAATCTTTTAACTGGTTTAAAATAAACAATATTGGAAAAACCATATCTGTGAAAGAACTTAGCTCTGACAAAATATTAATTTATTAATTTTAAAGAGCAAATCACTGAGGTTTTTTTGGCTTCCGTTTAACAAAATCTTGCAATCAACATTCTTGCAATCAAAAGTCTTAAAAGGTTACCAGATTTGGGACTGCATACAAGCTTAGCTGAAAACTCGAGATATCTCTCACCTACCTTATCCTAATTCAATGTGTAGCTTACATCATGCTACATTTCACAGACTGTAAACACTGGGGTAGAGACTACTACAAAATCCATCCAATTAACATCACGCCCACTCTACTGGGATGGCAGCATGGCTGACTCAAAACACAAGGCAGTAAAATATTATTTCCACTCAATTTAGTAAAGTGTTCAATCTTTACATTGATAAGAGGAATATTACAAGTTCTAAACATGCAGTGAGTTTATTTCCATTGACACAATGTGCCCATCCTTTATTCCATTATTTTGCTTTTCTCAAAACAAATTAGAACGGAGATTTTCACCCAAGGCTTGGTCATAGGGTTAAATCTTCTACAGCAAGTTGTCTTTTAGAGTTACTGTGTTTATTTTTTTTTAAGATTACAATACAGATTTCATGTTGAAACCGAAACAGTGTAATAATATTGAAAGCATTATTTTATTGTAAATCAGCAAAGAGCAAGCCCCTTCCAAAATTATTGACTAATCACACCTTTTAAACTACATTTTTATTTCACTTTTCTCCAAATACCTCAAAATAAAAATTCAGATGGGATTTTGATCATGTATTTATTTTAACAATAGACAAGTTATACTGTACTAGTTCTTACCTATCAAAGTGAATTGCAGTTTCTATTTTAGATCTTAATGAAATTTCATATATCATCCTCTACCACACAATGAATTTCAGATACAAAACTAAAACCCAATTTTGATTTCAATGATTGTAACTAAAGTTGCTCACATTTTTTAAATTCTGTTTATAACCAGCATTTTGCAAAACTGCCATTATTTATCCAGGATAAATCTAGGAAGCATATAAAAAGTGCCTTCTTCAATTATATGTTAAGATTAATTCCAAAAGAAAATTATTAAAAACAAATTTAAACTTTGGATTGGCACAATTTTAAACAAGATATAAAACCATGAAGATAAGCAAAACTAGAGAACTCCAAAAAATATGATATCCTAAATTAAAACAATTTCGTACCATGATTAGAAACAAAAAAAAATGTTACTGTGTAACAAAAAAAAAATCTGCATCTGAGGTATAAACCGGATTTTTATAGCACGGCTTTATTTCTGACCTATAAACAAAGGTCAAGCAAAACCTGCCATAATACAATTTAAAATTTTCATAGAAACAAAGACAACAAGCCTATAATAAGTTGATATTTACCTCACTAATATCATCTACAGAAGCACTTGGCAATTTGTACAGAGGAATCCATATGCATGTCAAGCAGATTTCAGTAAAAAAAGTGACTATATACAAATTTGTACACAGAGCCAATAATACATCCAATTCACAGATTATTTTTTTACTTAAAGCGGTTGCCTTCAACTCTTTCAAATCCCAAATCCATGTTAAATGTGAACATGAAACATTGGATTGAACTCCTGACTTCCATTTCTTTCTTAAAACAAAACCTTAAAACAAAGAAAATGGCGGCAGTGCCACTAGTGCACACATTTCAGATTGAAACGCCACCCACCTATGGATCCTTGAGCTGAAGGCCAATGACTTAACACAAGATACCTGAGATTTCACAATAGCTTTAGTTCCTAACTGAAATCCTAAATTTACATCTCAGAAATGTATAAAGATACCTCCTTTGAATATGTGCATTATTTAAAAAAAAAAACCTATACAGAGTTGAAAA